ATGTAATTCCATGTGCGTGTATGTTCGGAATTGAAAAAAAAAGAAGAAAGCAGCATCTTTTGTCGACTTTATCGATGTGGCTCTCCTCACTCTCTCTATGTGTGTTTGTAGCGGTAGATGTGATTCTGTGATCTGTATACAGATGATCTGATTGTATAAACAAATTCGTTTTTTTTTTTCAATATCCACGATATTGGAATTTTCATTCTGGTAATTATGATTTCGTCTCCGTTACGACACACTTGTGCATGCTTCCAATGCATTTGTTGGCCAGCAGCTAATTAAGTCATTTCCATTGACAGCAAATTGGCTGATAGCCACAGATCCAATTTCTTTTTATTTAAATTAACATTTTCACACGTTTTGCCTGATAATAATGCGACATTCTTCGTATTACCATCGCAAAGATTGGACTCTGTTTACACTTATGATATTTGAATGAAAAGAGCGAGTGAAAAAAAAACACACACACATCACACAAAGAACAAAAACATTCGATTCTCATCGGTCCGTAGCCGTTCATGTAGCGGTTATATTTAGACGAAATTATTTATTGAATGAAATTATGCGTTGCATGCTCTTGAACGATAGAGAGTGAACAACACGGTATTTTGTCTGTTCTGCGCAAATAAACAAATGAATTGAAAAAAAGCTTGCAAAAGAAAATAAATATCACAATCCATCTCTTTCTCTCTCATATTCACTGCAATTAAGTCGTCAAATTTTGCTTTATTCATTTCTTCGTATATTTATGTGGATCGGCATTTAGGTGATTTGTGCTCATTGTTTAATGCTTAGCCGTGGATTTTGTTCTTGTGCAGGCATACAACGAAAGGAAGTGAAAAGCGAATATGAAGAAAAAAAACTTCAAATTGACTAGTGTGGCGACAATGCCTTACATTTCTTCATTAATCCAAGCATAATTAATTTAATTGCCGAATTTGGACTTTTTAAAACAAAACCATTTCAAGTGATTGCAGGTCATGTCAGGCAATCGCGCAGCATTTTGAATACGTGAGTGCGTGAGTGATAGATTTGTGAATGTGCTCGCATTCAAATTTCCTGGAATCGTTAGAAATAATAAAAACTTTTGTTTATGACACAAATATTTTTGTTGTCCCACGAAATGTATGAGTGACTTCTTGTCGAATCGATGGCATTCTGTTGTTGATATGCGTGAAACTTGCTTCAGTTTCATTTCTTCTTCTTCTTCTTCTTCGATATAATTCACTTAAACAAATATTTATCATGGAAAGACTTGTTTATTCACGATCCTTCATATTTAAGTTTATGCATATTCGTTTAGTTCGGCTATGATACGGCTCCCGAGTTGATAGGGTGGTTGAAAGAAAGTATGATTAAAAAGTCAGGCCAAATTTGGCAAGAGATATTTCCAATGAAAGATAGAAGAAAATGATAGAAATGATTTGTAAGCTGCATTTGATTAAAAAGCCAATTGGAATATTGGAAAAGTTGATGGAAAATGTTCAATTTGATCGCAGAAATACTCGACTTATAAACGGCAGATCATTTTTGGAAGTGGTTTTTGATGCATTTCTCTTTATTTTGCATGTAAATTTCTCTTTTAGGCAATTTGGTGAAGAAGCCCATTGAAAATCGACGAAATGTCGAAACATTTTGTTCAACCACCCTAGTATTCTTGATTCAGATCGAAAATTGGTTGACATCGTTGAAAGTGATCGAAACGCGCTCGCCTTACAAAAACAACAACAACAACAAAAACGCAATAAATTTTCGGTGGTCGAATTTGTCGAATAAACAAATCTCTTATCTCTTTGCATTATGGAATCGATGTGCTGTGGATAACTAAAATGCGCCTTAAAAATGAATCATTAGCATTTGAAATGTACAGTGTCACAAGTTTTTCATTTCGATTTCTCAAAATCGATTAATTGTGCTGAGCTATTGTGACATAAGTGGTTTTTCTCTTTCATTTCTTCTCCCTCTCTCTCTCTCTCTCTCTCTCTCTCTCTCTCTCTCTCTTTCTCGAACGATAATTAACTGAACAGTTTTATTTGTTTTCAAGAGCATGGCTCGTGGTCGTATTCATTTTCTTTTGCTTGAAATGCCATTGTTTGACATAAGTGGCTACCGCACATAGAGCTCTATTTGCAAACGATCATAAAGCGAACATCGTTTTATGGGCTAAATTGAATGTGACTGCGTTTCAATGTTCCAGAAGATGTGTTGGCCTGGGCGCTTGAACTGTCAAGCAACTTCAAATTTATGATGAATTTTACGATTTGCGTTCGCCACAATGAAACTTGAGATGCTTACACTCACTCTCTTTCTCTCAATCTCGCTCGCTCTCTCTCTCTCTCTCTCTCTCTCTCTCTCTCTCTCTCTCTCTCTC